CCTCCTCACGGCAAGCATTTTCTGAAGAAGACCAAGCACAGAAATGGGATCCCCATGCTTTTGAACCTTCCTATTGCGAAATAGCACGTCAACCAGTCATGCGTCCTCGTAGGTTTGGAGAGAAATCCGAAATCCTGATGCTAAGCTCTCGACCTTGACTGAGGGTTGTTCTCAATCGCTACTTGTTCAAAACAGCAGAAGAATAGCCTTAATTTTCTCAAATTTTCTTTTCGTACTACTCAACTTTACGCATAAATGATCTTCCCGATCTTAAAAAAGACCAATCGGTGTCTCATTCAATCAATGAGCACACGACACGAAAGAAGATGAAGAAGGCTTTGTATATGAATGCGGGTTCAGGTTGGCAAGGTTGGAATTCCCACTCAAAAAAGGATCACAACATGATACTTTGAACCCACACAGACAGTGCTTTCGTGGAAATGGTAAAATTAGTATAAAAGACTTTCTGTGGAAATTTCTCTCATAGACCAACTCGACTGGCAGAAAGAAGCTTATTCCTTCACTATTCGGGTGGGTCTTGAGGTTTTTGGAGAGACTTTGGTCGGACCCGCAGATGTGCTCGAAGAGACAATTCGGAAGATGTTCATCAAAGGTCTGGGGTGGTTCCAAAAGGAGGGGGACATTGAAGTTTGGCTTGCCAACATGTCAGGTAGACGACTAGGATTATAATGAGGTGCTTGAGTCCCGGCTACAACCTTTTTCGAAAAGTCATGGTTGCAAATCACTTGTTTTGCAGGGGAGGTCCCTGACACCATTCCATTTGGAAAAATGCTAAACGCAACGGCTTTGATTGGCAAGTCGGCTAGCGTATTCCTCAGACTTCATCCTTATTGAAAACGTAGAGGTATCGTGGTTCGCGGTCTCTACGTCATTGAACAAAAGAGTAATATCACAAGTGACCTAACACGTCGGTGAAATTTGCTAGTTGGGAACAGATCTGCAAGACATGTATCCAGACCCCATTCATAGCATGCCAAACAGAATGGCTCAACTTACTAGAAACTTTGGTAGGCCTACCGATTTCAGATTTTGAAGATATTGCCGTTTTTCAAAAAGTGTCCACATAATTTTGATACAAAGAAAAAACTTTCCATGAAAAATAGTTCGCTAAGTTAGAACGAAATCTTTTGCCGAAAATATCATTGTAGGTTATCGACCACTAGGAGTTGAATGGTGGAGGTTTCATGACATAAAAGCCTTGAGAGGTGTGGGTTTGACACCGGCTTGGGACGAATGTTTCGTCCATAAACCAGTATTCTTGTGAAACCGCAACGCGAACTGCGGCGTTACTAACAGATAACAAACAAAACAACTCAAAATTCAAACTATCAAATAAATAACCATAAGGAAAATTTTCTCGTAACTCCTATTAACAGTGGCATCCTGAGCGCTGAAAAGTTTTCTGAGGCTGCGCCGAAATGCATTTTTTGCCCCCCCCCCCACCCCTCTCCTTGTACATGGACAAGCACAATTTCTGGAGCACATAATTCTGAAATGGAATCTGAATGCCTCCCGTACGGAACATAGCACCCTTGCGATTATATTTGCATAGAAAATTGTAGGAAAAAAATGAAAAAATCATGAAAACCCACTTTTAGAGTTCTCCACAGCGTGTGGCGATCGGTTCGTCAATAGTCTCGTGTTTATTCTTCTCCACTAAATTGCTGTTGATGTCTCGGTTCTCCGTGTCTTCCTCTAACTTTTCTTTGTCATGCTTCTTTGACGACTTCCCAGAAGATCTTTTGCTTCCCTCTTTGTCTTTCGTCCTGCTGCGATGATGGTCGCTTTCGACGCCATTCGCCGTCACTTCTTTCTTCTTCTTCTCTTTCGGCTTCTCCTTCTCTGGATCCTGCAATAAAACAGCCACATCTCAAGGCATCAATGAACTAGATAATTTTTGGGAAACTTATGCTCTTGAATTCTCCCAACGTTCTTTTGGTTGGTTTTGACCACAGTGACAAATTCGAAAAACCCTGTTTATTTTGAGAAGCAATTTGAAGGAAAAAATATCCAGAATACGTCCAGGCTCCTGCTGCCGTACATAATATGGATGTAGCCTTCACGTCAAAACTTCTTCGAGGCAAACTTTGCCCTCGTTACCCTCACACGTGATGACATATTGTTGGCATATTGCCAGGGAATCTTAATTTTATCCGGGCAAGGGAAATTCTACAGACGACTAAATTTACCAAAAATGAATTTACATAGCGCCCAAAAATTAAATGACAAGCAGTTTTGCAGGTTTTCTCTTCTGAAAATCATTGAATGTTCTCCAAATTTTCACCACTTACTTACCAAGCGTTTCTTCAATCCACAATAAATATCAACTTCCAGCTCAAACAGGGTAGATTTTTCGAAATTATCGAAGGCGGCATGTCAATTGACTTTGACCGCTACTGCACATTGTATTTTGATGAAAATCATGAGAGTTCTCGTGAAATGCCTTGAACTGATCAAAGAGTAGAGATATCCCGCTCTTGTATCACGCACAGGATTACCCAGTGTAAGGTGAAAGGGCCCCAGAGTGCAACAAAATCCGGAACGTTAGCAATAATTAGTTATGTCGATGAATAAGTCAACGTTTCGTTGGGTACCAAGGTAAGAGAAAAACGTCCCAAAATATTCACTTCGACGTTCGTTACGTGACACCAAAGTACTTCGAGGTAGTACCCTTAATATTTATAATTCTGACAAGTTTGTCAACATCAGAAATTGGTTCATGTAGAAGAGGTGTAACGTATAATCTTTTAAGGGTACCATCAACGCATGCCCAGAATCAAAATTTATTTGTTTCCTGCACACAGAAATGAAAGTGCTGGTGCGAAATGGGCCGCTGGTAAAGAAAGAGGAAGAAAATTTGTCGGGAACGCTCATATAACCGTGCTAATTGTAAGGCAATGAGAGGCTGGCGCGGAGAGGAAGGCATTTGAGAAAGTGCAAGAGATAAAGGGGCTCCAGACACCAGCCTGGTGCGGCGGGGGAAAACTGAAGCTGTTGAAGCTATCCACCTTGTAAGGCCAGCGCTCGT